CGTTTCTGCTGTCGTTAACTTTGACTCATTTGGCATGGATTGTGGGCTCATTCGCCCGTTTGCTATTTGAGCACGTTGAGAGAGTTTTTGCCCGCCCGTCGGTTTGTCCGCCAGTTTGTCAATGTCTGTTCATTCGTCCGTCTGCCCGCCCGCCCGACTGGCTGTTTGGTCTTTTGGTCTCGGCTGGTGGCTTCCATCGTCATAGTCAAAGTGGTCGTCGTTGTCGAATGCTGCCGCTTGTTCGGGAAGGAGAGAACGGCGGGAGCAACGCGGGAGCAATTCGTGATGCGAAGCGAGTGGAGCAATAACCGACGTCGTCGTCGTCATCCTCGTCGTTGTCGTGACGTTCGTCCAATAGCTTCCCTCTATCTATTCAAGATACCACCGAGAGCCGCTGCTGCAGCAAACCATCGAAGGCAGCAGGAAAGAAAGAGATTCAGCCCGCCAGCGTGCCATCGTGCCGGTTGGCCCTCGACAAATACTTGAGATTTCTTCTCGATTTCCAGACGAGCTCGCCCCTGCTCTCGGATACGCAGTACCGGGTATCCGGTCAGGGAGAACTCTGCTCTGCATTCTGGAGTCAAGCATGCGAGATAATAATCGAGAATCCGATTCAGTTCTCCGCTAGCGAGACACGAGCGACTCCCGCGGTCAGGAAATCACTCAATCCCTTCACTGTATCGAGAGTCTTTGAAAGGAAACGTAGTGGCGTCGTCACGGGATGGGCCGTGGACAATCCTCTTGTTTTTCTCTCGGAGATTGCAATCTATAATTGAATAGACGAAGGCATAGGGTTAGATAGATTGATGATCGATCGTTATCCGTCATTCCTTTGACAATGAAATATATTAACATGATCCTCTTAGGCGCGTCTTCGGCGATGGATTCGTCTCTACTATGTACAATGGAAATGTGATGATACCCCGACTGGGTGAGCGGATGAACGAAGGTAAAATACCTCCCCGTGAGAGGAGCTACGGCGCGCACCGAACATTGCCCATGTATGTATGCATTAGATCTGAAACAACAGCATCGACCACATGAGCGGCGAGATCCACGTCGTCAGAAGCGACAAGCACCACAACAACAACGACGACGACGACGGTAACGATGATACGGAGAATAGACTCCTCAAGAGCTGTTGCTTCTCAACTGCTCAGCTGTGAGTGAGTGAATGAGTGAACGAAGGGACGAGTGAGGGCTCAATCAGTTTGGATCCAGCTGCTCTGAAGTTCTTTTGTCGTATGGCTTTTGTCGTTTTCGTCGTAGTCGTTTCTGTCGTTGCTGGTCGCTCGCTCTCTCGCTCGTCCCGGAATGAGGGTCTTAGACCGTGGCCGATTGTTCTGCCTATCCGCTCGCTTGCCGCGCGGTTCGACGGTCGGCTGAGCGGCCGGTCGGCCGGCCGTCCAACGGATCGACAGACCGAGCTGCCTGCCTACCCCGGGTCTGCTGTCGGCTCTTCGTGGGCTTACTCCGTTGCTTGTTGGCTGGCTGGTTGGCTGCACCAACAACTGTACGCTCCACCGACGAATATAATGGATAATGATACATCAGATTGCTCCATCCATCCGCCAGCGCATCGCGATAGGAGTTCGATGCGGCAACGCGAGCATGATCTCGGGAGGACTGCCCCAACGTGTTGCCTTCGGAGAGCCGACCCTCCTGAGTGGCTGATTATTCGTCAGAAAATCCCCGCTCTCTCCCTTAATTCTCACCGATGAAAAGGAATCCATCTATTTCATGAATGCCTCGGATTCCGTAAATAATACGGACAGCTATGGACTACAAGCAGCGACAGAGTCGTAAAGTGACTGCATGCCCCTCGCGCGGAGCTTGACCGTATTCATGATCTTAAGACATCAGACGGCGTTGATGATGCCAGACTCCCAGTCGGTGGATGTCGTCCGTGATTCGATCAGCTCGGGATCACCGAGTTCCCCATCGTCCATCAGACGCCTGCACTTCAACCAGTCCATGCGAGCTACGATCCTTTTGCTGATTTCCTTGCCGTGTCATGCGACGCATCCTTCTGGCGACCAAATTGTCCGTTCTCGTCTTCGTGAACTGATCGGACGATCAGACGAACTTATTCCCCTCCTCGGCGTCAACCGTATTGTCCATCCCCGATGTCGGGCTCAACTACGCGTTCGCTCCTACCTAAACTCCTCCGACAGGGAAAGGATCCTCGCCGCTTGGGGATCAAAGGAGTGGGACGCGAAGTATCTCCATCGCAACGACATCAGATGATGCAGCCAAGAGACTGAAAGTGCGGGACAAGGATTGGGATGGTCATAGGACTCTTCGGACTCGCGATGGGAGAGCCACAGAGAAGCGGGAAACCCCTCGATCCATCAACGGCTGTCGCTCCGAATGGGGAATCGACACATGTACCTACCCCTAACCGGCAACCTTCACAAGTCAATCATGGAAGTTGAGTGCGTGCTCATCGATCGAGAACTCGCAACCGATATCGCGGAAGTCGCATCGCGATCGCGTTCGACGGTAACGCCATCTACCTTTCTTCGGATCAGTCTTGAAGCTGGAGCTTTGATTGCGTCGTCTCCGACGTCGACGTTGCTTGCAAAGGAGCGAGCAAGTGATGGCCTGGTCTTCAGCGACCCTCTTCCTACTGCCGTCATTGCTTGCCGCCGACATCGTCGTGTTGGTCGTCCCTCGCTCGTTCGTTCGTTCGGTCGCTTCGACTTTGAACCGGCGAAAGACTTCGGGCTGTCGAGAAAGTCACAACACTAAAGAAAGCTTGGCCCCTGCTTGCTTGCTTGACTGCATGGATGCTTGTTGGGTTGGTCGGCCGCTTGGCTGACGCTAGCACGGCTTCAGATAATGCCTTTACAAACAAACACGCTCACACATTGCTCCAAGATGTGCCTTCACGGTCGATTGTGGTGACGAGATACAAACCTCACTAATATCGTCTGACATCTCGAATGGGGTCCTGCTCCACAAATTGGATCGAGTTTATGGCTCGCAGAGGTTTCCCGTACAGATGATCGAAGAGCACCTGCTCCTCCTCTGAAGAGATCGATCCTTCGTTGCTCGTTTCCGTAAACTCTGTGTTTCTGCCAAAAATGTCCGTGGGTTTCGCGTGCAGCCGGATGAGCCATTCGTCGTGTTCAAGCCCGCACCGGACACCGTAGTATCCTCCCATTCCAGACGGAGGAACGCGGATCCATTCAATTGTCCCGGCCCGCACTTCATTGATCCATGCGGCGATCTATCATCATCGGGACGTGAGTGGAAAACGCGTGTTTCCGCGCACGCTAACATTGTATTATTCAATCTCAAACAATCAGCTACGAACGCGGCGCGTTTCAATACAGGACCTGTCACCGAAAAGTCGCCTGCTCGCTCACCTCCCCGCTCGCGGAACCGTGACCCGTGACGCCACGCTTGTCGGCTAAGCGCTACATTTCTTCGTGGGAGTGTATTCCTGTTTTGAGAACCGCGCCTGCCGCGAATTTCTATTTGAGGCGCGCGGATGGAATTCAATATTTGATAAATATCTCATAAACGCTTCCTTCCCCAATCCTTCCGACAGGGCCCACCGACAGTTCTCCGGTCCCGTATGGAACGGTCGATCCGACTGCGGTCAGCCGCTCGCCACGGAGCGAACGAGCGAGTGAGCTGGCAGGCGAAAGAACGAGCGAGCTCCGATTTTGAATGAACGAACAAAATGCAACCATCAAGAAGACCATCCATCTTCGACGCGTCATCAGGAAACATCTACACAGACGTTCGATCGCTCGCTCGTCCGCTCGCTCGCTCGGCCATTCAGATGGCGATCAGACAAATGAACAGACACATCTTTGCCAGTCGGAATCACGGATTGAATTCCGGCGATAATTTCGCATGTCAATCCGTTCCTTTTTTCTTGCCGCTTATGGAAACAGCTTTCGTCTGTCACTTTGACCCGAGGTCGGGACTTCTTTTGAATCGGATTTCAGGTGCGGATTCAATGAAAGTTATTTCGCGGTGTCAATTGAAAGCGGATAGCGGAAACGCGAAGACGCTCTGGGTCCGGGGAGGAAGTCATGGAAATGGACTGTATTTCGACGAGAGCTGCAAAAAAGTGCAGCGCTGAGTCCCCGAAATTCGTGGGGAGCTCCGAGAGAAATGCCCGAATATTCAAGTTCCGAAAGCCGGAGCCAATGTCTCGCAGAGAGATAGATGAGGCTTTTTTTGGATTTCCAATAAAATATTGCACTTTTTATTTACATTTCGCGGAGCGATACTTTCTTCTCTCTCCACAAATCGCTGACGTCGCCATGTTCTGGCGACTCGAATCAGCAATCTCTCCCATTTTCTCTATGTTACTCGTACTCTGCCCGATCAGAAGCGATCCGCCATCTTCGGCCGATCGTTTCCGCGGATCGAGTTCCATTCAAACATCGAACAAGTCTTTCTCTTTATTCTCGGATTCTCTAAATTCATAGATTACATTCCACGCATGCATTCCACCACTTGCAACCATGGTCGCTGATTGATTCGGAAGCTGTTCATTCAACATTCAGAAGTTCTTCACAGGGCAGTTTCTCCTGCCGAGTTCATTCCGCTCACGTGACACATCTCCGAGGGATCTGTGCACACGCAGCCCATTCGATCTTCAGCTGCAGCTAAATGTTTGATGACTAGCTTTTGTTTAAGGAACTTTTCATACCTATGCGACCAACGCGAAAGACAAGCAGATCTCATGTGATCGACACTTCTTCCCTCGATATTCCGAGGCGATTCCGTACGATCCCGCTCAAGATATACGGGGCGGCAGGCCCCCAGCTTCATTCAAAGAGGGATATGGTTTCTAAACATTTTGATTTAGACCTCATGCCGACGCTCGGCGTCAGCCTCCTTGGGACTGTAGCTGATTTTTTTTCATTTTGGACTGCGTGAAATCGTTGCAGGGTTTACCTTTCCGAGCCTCGGGAATCTTTCGTCAGGACTGCGTTTCGTTTTCTCGTAGTGGTACTTCTCGTCAGTCAATCTTCTCAGGCTTCAGTTGAACAGTCGGGCCACGACCGCGCAGTCGGAAGAAGTTCGACGTCTTCCCATCGGTGTTGATCGATTTCACAGTCACCGAAATTCTCCGAGCCGTCCGAAGTGTTCAAACTACTCACAGACGACGAACGCTTTATGCTAATGAGATCGAACAGCTTCGTTTGTTCCAGCGTTGTCATTCCGGGAATTTTCGAAGCCGCGTCCGTGCTTTTCACAATCAGCTCGTGAAGTTGCCTGGAACAACGAGTTCTCCCTTAAATTCTACATTCCATCGATGTTCCCACTTTTTTCCCGAATCCCCCGTTCGCCATCTGACGAGTGAGGCGAGAGAATCTGACCGAGAACGACCCGTCAGGGAATCCTCTTTTCGATGCTCACATCCCTACCCTCATCTCAAGGGCTCGTTGGGACTCTGACGGAAAAATCGCCGGATGGTTCATCAAAGGATCGACCGAGCGATTTGGACTAGAATCTACGCGAGCCGACACGGAAACTATGCGAGCATCGGCGAATTTACCGCGCTATTCGATTGGCCTCGGAATTTTAGAGAGAACTCGTAAAGCGTATCGCTGCTGGCCGTTTCGTTTTCTCTTTCACTCGAGGAAAATCCGGCATCGAGCACGAAAGCCATGCCCGCACGCAATACTCGTCCCGAGAATAAGAGAAACATCTACACACCTCTCAGCTGCCGTAACAGGAAATGCCACACTTTCGCCTAGAGAGCGTCTCGGGGTTGTTCCAACATTGAGCACAACGTTGCTTGAAGGCATTTGATTCCTGTGGACGAAGACAAACGATCCTCATTTACAAACCTGATCAGATGCGAATGTTTCGCGCCCAACGCCCGCTTCGTCCCAGGCACGAAGGGAGCGGGCGACAGAGAGCGTGAGCATGGCTTGATTTCGACCGCTTACCTGTTTAAATCGTAGAATTTATTTTCTGTCTTCAACTTCAAGTCCGATTGATTTGGCCCTGGGTTCGGTACGACGACGACGTCGGCGATTCCGCTTCGGCATCCGTCGTGGTTGTCGGGAAGGTTGCTCGTTGACACGTACTTCTCGATAAGGGCACTGAGTTCGAGGACTCTGTCAATCTGACTCTTGGCTGAGGAGCCGCTCAATTTGCGCAGGATGTCGAGAATCTTCCCCAGGCCGAACGTTTTCGAGTTACACGCCGCCAGGATACGACCCCTCACCGGAGAGGCTTTGGGACAGGATTCCAGGAGCCAGAAGAAGCGGCTCATGTGACTGATGTACAACTCGATCGAGATCTGCACCTCGCTCCAGAACAGCGTCGGTTTCGGAACAATTTCTTTCCTGAGACCCACGTCTCCGGACAGAATGCTGTTGATGCTGAATTTCACGCTGGGCTTGGATTCGACATCTCGACTTGGGGCTGGTGCGAGAGATTGCGTTTCGGTGTTGTCACGTGCGATCGCACTCATGACCTCCGCGAGGCAAGCGGACATCTCGAAGTCGGCCGGGGGCAGCTTGACCTCGACTTTGACTTCCGGCGCCCGCGGCCTAACCCAACGCGTCGCGGCTCCCTTCTGTGGGTTGGTGCTCTTCTCGAGCCCGAAATTGTTCCGGAGGAACGCTTCTCGACCTTGTAGCGAGTTCATTTTCTCAATTTGTTTAGTCTCACTGCCTTCTGTCTTTCTCCGCGCTAAGGTAACTGTCAAAGGCACGGTCAGCGGAGCCGGAATACGAAGTTGCGAATCCCAACACAAAACTGAACTCCGACACCCGAAACTGGTGGCATCCAGGAGGCCCTCGTGGTGCTCTGAAAGGGGGTTCAATCGTTCAATCACCTAATTAGCTTGACGGCAGTCAGTCTATTTCGGTGCGGAATCGACCGGCGAACCCGATCAATTAGCCAAACACCTCAGTCGGTGGCTCCCGAAGTCCATCGAACGATCTCCGATCAAGTTGGAGATGAATGAGAAAGAACCCCTAAGCCTTCGCCACTGCTCAGCGCTGAAAATCATTAGCTGTAGATATCCAAACTCACCGAAATTTGCAGGTACTTCGTTGATGAGGGGTTTCTTCCTCTCCCTCTCGTCCCTCTTTTTCGCTCGCTTGGCTTTGACCTTTTCCTCCTCGATTCTTCTGAACTCGTCCTCCTCCATTCTCTTCCGCTTCTTAGCATCGAGAATAGCAGCTCGGGAATCTCGAGCCGTCGGCGATGGACTTTTGCTCCTGGTCTGTGGCCCGTTGGGCACATTCAGGGCTTTGAATCTCACCGAAGGTTGCGAGCGCATGACCGTCGATCCGTTATCCGCCGTCGGAGAAACCGCAGATCTCGAAGCGAAATCCGAAACAATGCTCGATCCGCTGCTGGAAGAGCAGCTCGACCCCGATTCCGGACTGGAGACAGACGCCACCGAGGCGAGTCGTTCCGCTAATGTCGAAGACCTTGTATCTCTCGGGATCGGTGAAGTAATTGTGAACGTTTCAGATGCCGTCGAGCTCGTGTTCAATTTAATTTTCAGAACTGTCGGTCGCTTGCCCGAAGACACGGTGTGACCCTTGGAGATCTTGTTCTGTTGCGACTGAATGTTGCTTGATTTCTTCTCTGTCGGTCTCTCTTTTTGATTTGCGGGCTTAATCACCCTCGGACGAGATAATGTAGAGGAGAATTTGGGAGATGCGTTCGGTCGCTTCACGTTCACCGCACTCGAAGCCACAGCTGTTGTCGCTGCCTTCTGATCTCTGGCGAAGCTCTGTGATCTGGGAACGATCGGGTTTCGGTTTTGTACGGTTTGGATAGTTGAAAGGGGAACGGTTTGCGTGGGTTTCGCGAGAGCCGTAAGCAGGACTGGCACCGTGCGAGGCGGTGACATTTCGAAGTTTGCTGGAAATAAGAGGAGCGAAACACGGATGAGCATGACGTCATTCTACACGAGCCCCTTCTCTCAGGAAGTCTGTGCGCGAGAGAGAGAGCTCGGAAACCGCTCGCCGTTTGTAAATACGTCCTCGGAAACCTCGCCGGTCTTCTAGTTCGAATCCCCTCGATTCACAACGGTAATCTGAACTGCGTAGGAGGGAGAACTCCTCGCTGTACTCGACAAGAGAACGGCATCGACGTCCGTTCGAAAGTGGTCGAAACGATATGAAACGCCGAACTCACCACTATTCCGCTCCTGCAACGTTGCCTGAGGCTTCACCGACTTCTGATGATGCCTAGTGACACTGTCTATGGTTGTTGACACGTTCGAATCCCAGTTATCACACTCCTCCTCGGTCGAATCGTTATCGCTCAGAGCGATATTGAGGGGCGCGAGAGAGCTACGCGAGTAAGTTTTCATTGGACTCAATATCGCGTCCACATTCACCGTGCTGTTGTGGGGTGCGCTTGTCGCGCTGCTCTTCGGAATGTCGACGTTCTTGGCACGGATTTCGGGCTGGAAAATAATAATCAAATGAGCTCTAGTTGCGACCGCTAGCCCGAATGTTCGCCCCTCTGCCTCGATCGTTGCACCGATCACGAGGAACACGAGTGAGCGAATCGATTTCTGCGCACTGCGTTGTCGTAGACGATTTCGCAGCGAAGAGCGAGAACGCTCGATCTGAAAGTCTCAAACAGCTGGAGCGATGCTGTACATAGCCGCGAGTAACTCACCTTGCTGAAGTACGGAATGCCGTTCCCGTTGGCGCTTGATGAGATCGAACGGTGAGCGTCAGAGCCAATCTTGACAACTCTTGGGGCTGGGTCGACCGCCATTGAATTGGAACGCTTGGGTGGATCTCGTAGGGATGGGTTGAACTGTACGAAGCTGTACAGCAACTTTAGCGGTTCGGTGGCTTTGTAGCTCGCTATGTAGCATACGTCTAACAATCGAAAGTCGGGGTCGAGAACAATTTGTTTGCTCTTCGCGCTCCCCTCCAGCCGAAAATGAACAATTAGCGAGTTGGGGCAATCAAACTTGTTCTGGATGAAGCGGATCAAGACTGTGACCGGTGTGACGGCAGCGCACTCGATGTTTCTAAAATAAAAAAAATCAAAGGTCACACGTCTCGTCAAACCTCGCGAACTTCTCTCGTAGCCCCGTCTGTCCGGAATTTCGAGCGCGACCTCGTCGGCGCCGGTCTCGTTTTTTCCCTCTGTTCCGGAGGGGATCCCGCTCTAGAAACACTTACACGTTGGAAAGTTTGAGAGATCGTGACCCGACGTCCGCCTGCTGCCGGTGCTCTAAAACCAGCGAGATCATGTCTTCTTCGGTGAAAATAACACGCTCAGGATAACCTTTCTCCTCAATTCGATCGGCCCCGGCGCTTGAGCTGTTGCCAGCGCCGCCGGTTTTCGAAGGTTTCTCGCGGCTTTGGTAGAATTCTCGTCTGCGGCGCATCTCGTTCGCGTAGAGACCCGGTACGCTTCTGTACACAATGTTCTGCAGCGTCTCGTCGGGAACCTGCAGAAAAACTCGCGTCAGCTCCAATCAGCATGAAGCGGAGTGAGAACCGAGCCCGCGCTCCAGCTCTCGTTCTATGCACGCCGGCCGTCGTCGCACCAGGGGTCGCTGTTTACGCTATCGAATTTGATTAGAAGGTGACTCCGACGTGTTTTTTCCTTTTCTCGGTGCCGACAGTTCGACGTGCCGCGCTTCGGCGCTGAGCCGCATCCGTACTTACCATAAAGTCATCCATGCGACTGCGGAACACTCGTTCTTGACAGGTCGGACAGGCGCTGCTCGTGTCCAAGTGGCGGTTTATACAGCTCTTACAGAAAGAGTGCATACACCGCACAAGGGTCATTGCGTTGACGAAGTATCCTTTGCACAGGGTACATGTCAAGCTCGGATTTACCGACGCTAGGCTGACTCGTTCCGACATCGTCCACCTGCGGAAGAGTTCTCCTAAATCATTTCTGTCCAACAGTCCATCGATCAGAGAGCCGGAACGACCTTCGACCGATGACAACGAAGCCGGGGATTATTTTCTACAACATCCGGAGTCGATCATGCGCAGACAGCTTGGGTTCCGTGCAATCAATGATCTCTGCTCATGGATCCCTTTTTCCACCAATCCGTATATCGAGAGGATAGATACGTTCATCGATCGATTCAATTTCAGAACTCGAGTAGCGGGACTTGTACGCGACTGTCGCACTCTGTTTCGATCGTCAATCGACTGATGGATGCCTAGTCTAGAAACCCGCCGCGATAGCAAGATGCGATGCGGGAATCGGGGCGAGGCGTTTCCCCGGCCACTCGGTCCGCGGCGACCAAGTTTGCGATCGGAAACGTCGCGGGAAAACGGTCCCGAGTCTTGCACCTCATCCTTCGCTCCCTTGTCGTCGGAGTCGAAGCGGCGAAAGCGAAGTCGTAATTGAACCCCGTCCACCGCGGTGCCTTATGGCGGAGGGTTCACCGCCGATCGTGACCTCTTTGTCCCCCTTCGCTGCCAAATGTCGACGGGGCAGCATGCGCATGCTTCCGCGAAAATTCCGCAGTTGTTTCTCGGACGATGAGCGACCATAAGATGCACCAGCCACCAGGGATATCCGTATTGTGCAGAATCGGTTACGCCACACACTCCTCGTGCATATTCATGTAGCTGTACGCAAATACATACACACATGCAACCGGGAACCGGCTCGGAAAAAACAATCGGAAAAAGACGGGCCCCACTTTAGGCACGAGCGATTGGAAAAACTTCCTCCTGGGCACACTGCCAATGAAGTTGAAGTCCACGACTTCCAATTCGGCGACCAAGAGAAAGTGGAGCGGCGCGAAACGAAGCCCACGCGCCAAGGACCGGCGGATGCGCGATCCTTCACGATCCGGATGAATCATTGTCTCGTTTTGAAAAAAAAATAGGGAAAAATTAATTCGAGAAATCTCGATTGCGCCAAGCCACCGAGAATACCGACGCCCGGATCTCACCGATTACAGCGCCGGCTTGCGCACAAGCGACGGGAGCCGGTCATGACGATTCCTCGAGATTCGAGATACAACTTTGGTTGCTTTCTCCCAATCGATGCTTTGTAGGCGATTGGAATTCGAGATCCCGATCCGGTCGAAGCCTTGCTCTCAAAACACATTGAAGTGAAGTCGAGCGGCTTCAATCATCAACCCCTTGAATGACCGGACTCCCGTCCGACTGACAGATCAAGTGATTGATAGGCTTGCGAAGCCGAATTAAATAACGAGAGGATCAGGGAATGCGATCCACGATATCTTGAGGGGTTGATCTTCCAGAGACCTCACTCAGAGGGTAGAACTCATCGGGCAGCATGCCGATACGCCGCAGCCTCCCGACAAAGAATTTGTTCGTCGAATGAGAGGATGTCTCCGTAACATCGCAGATACCACGCGGACGCTTCATAGATATGGACAGCAGAATGGGGAACTTTTCCCGGAGAAAGGGGTTCCGAGAAACGGCCCGCGTTGCGTTCGAAGCCCTCGACACTCGAAGCCACGGATTCGAGTCCCTCCTCAAGTTCATGGGTTCCTCATGCCATCGGTACATTATCGACCGATTGCCGTCGATTCCGTCAATCATCCTCTTCTCAAGCAGCGAGGCCGACTTTTCAATCGTTGTCTAGCGATGGTCGCCCGCTCGCATCTGAGTGTCTATTTGCTTGTTCCACGGGCTGTGTTTTCTATAGTCGTCATTGCGTTCTCTTGGTACGTCGTTCGTTCGCTCGCTCGCTCTCTTGGTCGTCGTTTCGTTTGGTTGCTTTGGTTGGCTGACTGACTGACTGACTAGCTGCTTGGCTCGTTCGCTCGCTCGCTCTCTCGCTCGCTCGCTGGCTGACTGCCTGACTGGCGGCAGTGAGTGGTGCTGCAGCAATAGCAAGTATGAAGGGAGATCAGCTGATTCCAACGGGCCGTTCGTTCATTTGCTTGTCTGTCTGACTGCCAGTCTGCTTGGCTCGCTGCCTGGGGGACGGACGGCCGGTAGAACGAACGAACGTTCTGTCGAACCCAGGCAAGCGAGCGAACAACCAGCCGACCGACCGACCGACCGACCAGCCAACTAACTACCTGATTGAAGAACTACCAGGAGGTTAGATAGTCAAATAGTCAGCCGAGTAAAAAGCTTAGCCGCCGTGCGGCCGATTGACGGAGCGCGAGACTCGCTGAAAGACGTTGCTGCATCGCCGGCAAGAAAAAAAGATGAGAAGCGACACCATGCGGTAGCAACAAACAAATGCTGAGGCAATAACAACATTGCGCGCTGTGTAATTCTCGAAACGTTCGTCGGACAGTTTTCCTCCTCGCAGGCCTTTACCAGCTGACAGAAAGAATCAGAGCCTTCTCGCCTGACGGATGGATCGGGATTCAGGCGGGCCCTCGGTCAAATCACTAACTCGATTTTGATCTATCGGAAAATCAGCTTCCCGTTTACAGCTCGGACTTGTTTCTCATACGGATCGACAGATTGGCGAGGTAGGAGATTACGTAGACTGAGACAGCCGGACGGAGCGGGAGATTAGTGGCTTGATTAAGTGACGGATATGTTCGCCCCGTGTCGGGTGCATGCCTCGGCTCGCCGGAAAGAATGAGCCTGGACTTGAAGATGATCGACGAGCGGCCTTTTCAGGACATCGATTGATGAATAATTCAGTTGAGATGAATTCAGATACCGCTCGAGTCCTTCTACAGCGCCGCCGTCGGATGCCCATCGAGTTCATGAATTAAGTCGAATAGGCTTCGATGCAGCCTCCGTGAAGTCGAGCGCGTTCTATTGGCGCAGTGAATTAATTACGGAATTGATGGAGAGTGGCTCTAAGAGAGAGAGCGGGCTCAACGGTTGATCAGATAGGCGACTCCGTGGACAGACTTATTTCGCTGAGGGTTCCGGGTATGTTCGCGGATAGAAGTCCCTCTTGGGCTGCGCACGTATGTACGTAATTCAGCCGGTCCGTCCGTCCGTCCGTCCGTGGGTCTGATGCCGTTTTCTCAACCGATCGTCCGCTGCTCGCTCACAACAGTCGACAGTTCTTCCGCCGCGAGCAAAAGCTTCATTTCGGGGTCGTCGTCGTTGTTGGAATGGAGGGGTTGGTTGCGAAATAGGGCCGGCCGGATGGGTAGAACCAAAAAGGGACGGCGCGGAGGGAGGAAGGGACGGAGGCAAAGAAGGTAGGGGCAGGGGAACACGGGGGAGAAAGGACGAGAGAAAGAGCGGACCGAAGGGAACAGAGAGAGAAAAAAAGACCACCCAACGTCGACGGCGACGACGACGACGAAGAAGACGACCAAGAGAGCCGAGGAGCGGCCGCAGTGGAAGAAAGCCGATGGGAGAGGGCTTCATAGATAGTGGATCGGATTGATTCGGCGAAATTCGAATGTGGAAATTCCCGCTGGAAAATCATCTCATGCCGATCGGGACTCATGCACCGAGCAGAAACTTCCAAAATAAAACGAAAACTCCGAAAATTTCGAGATTCGGTGGTTGTCGAGTCGAATGTCGCTCCACCCTTCACGAAACCCAACATCTGGGTCGTAGTCGAGTCTTTTTAGCTGGGTTTCGGATAGTTTTCGGACGATACGAACCTTTTTCAAGGATCGCCAAGGATCCGTAGAGTTATCCAGGTGAAGATTTATAGCAATTCCATTAGATAGGGTAATCCACGAGCTGGTAAACGCTCTAAATCCGGAGGGTATCCTGTTTTCGAACGAAACTCGCACTTAATCCTGAGCTGATGAAGCGGCACTCGATGAACTTATTATCCTAAAGTATCCAAGAGTTGCGTGGAAGTCACACACGAAAGTTTTCGAGCAGCTTTCCTTCGAAGTTTGGCTGTTTCAACGGCAACTTTCACAGAGCTCCGTCCGCTTCGAATGTTGGCTCGACTTTGACTGTCGGCCCTTCGTCGGTTCGCCCGCTGCTCGGCTGGTGAGAGGTTGGTGGCGGTGGAAACGACCACTATCGCCGCTGCCGGCGCGAGACGAAGCAGCGCGTCCTATATAGAGGGCGCTCAAAACAGTTTGGTTCCGCCCTCAGGGAGGACCACGGCATAATCGAAATGGAACCACCACCATCATCATCAATGGCATCGCCTCAACAGCCAGCCGCCATCTGAAAGAGCCGGGGAATTGTCTGGCTCCGCGCCTCACCCGACCCCGATTGTCCGACTGTTGAATTCGCGCTCGAGCGGATCTTCTGTTCCTGCGAACGACTCACACCCGGGTATTATGCTAATGGTCCCGATCAGTACATTACGAAAATAAATGTTACCATTTCCCTCGCAGTTGTTGGTTTGACAGGAAAGGGGAGCACTGGTGTCTTCAGTGTAGATGACGGTAAATAATGAATTCCTAATTATCGCTCATAACGTTGCCTCGTTTCGCATGGGGGACGGGGGGTAGGGGCGGAGGAGGGCGTGATTCGATGAATTTATTTTCCGCTCTCGACAACACACCTAGGTCGGGGAATGAATCGAGGAACGCATGGTCCTGGAGGTCTCTTCTAATTGGTGCATGAGATAATCGGATCATCCCGTGCTCAGTGCGATCGTTCGCCGAGTGAACCCATGTAGTACAGTCGGTAGGAATTAGCTCCGGATAATTGGATTCTCCGCCTAGCTGAGACAAAATGCTTCGGTTCCGATGCGCTCTGATGGAATGGAGACCGCATTACACTGGGGACATCTCGCTTAAAGGGAAAACCACCTCATTGAGGAATGCGCTCGCGGCTCACCTGGGTGGTGAGCAGGTTGCTATATCGTTCGGGGCTTGTGGGTCTAGTGAGTCATTCACGAGAAATTAAAATAAATTATCTTAGGCCAGTGTACCGCGAAACGCTTTTTCGTGAACTTCGATGACGGCTAGCGTTCTCTCGTTCCGTCTCTGGGAATCTTCCATCCGACGACAATCGCTCGAGCGAATTTCGATCAGCTCTCGGGTTCAGTTCAATTACACTCGATGCTCTGATCGAGGGGTTATCGCGGACGGCGGCGCCCAAGACGGATTCCTAGAGCGGGTATCCTGAGTACACGCGAGAAGAACCGCGAGATGCGAAACTCGAACTTCAGCTTCGCGACGCAGGACGACTCGCACTTCGGCTTCCGAATCGGAGCGGCCCTCGACACGAATCTTCGCGGGGTCCCGCCTGGGACACATGTACGAGATTAATGCTGGATGATAATTGTCTGCCGTATGTCTTCCGCAAACAGGCCCTCTTTATAAACAAAAAAAAATGCGTCTTTTGCGGACACTCTCCACGCTACGCCAATGAGCGGGGAAGAAATACGAAATTAAAAAGATTGCCATCAGGGAACTGCCTGACCGACCTGGACGGAACCTGCTGAACAGAAAATATATTTACGCGATAATGACTCCATTGTTGTCCAAGCGCCCGTTAGTGATGGAGAGGGGCGGAGGAGCGCGAGCGAGCGACCGAGCGAACGAACGTGCGTCTCGTTTCGACTCGCCCGTAGCTCTTCTCGACGTCGACGCTCACATCAACATCGTCGCTACGGTGCGGTGTTGGTGGCGGCCGCTACCAGCACTCCTATGACGTAGCAGGTGGCGAAGGCAGCGACTGATGCACCTCTTGACCTTTGAGAAGTCGACTTATTGGTGATCGTATTACGCCAAACCATTCGAATTTCGTTCACGGATTATGCGGACGGCGGCGCCGCCGCGTCGAGAACGATTTTGTACACCGAAAAGCGTACGACGCCGCGAAGACGCTGAAATCGACGCTCGCAGGGAAAACCAAGAAATGAGCAAAACGAATGAATTGTTGAGAATATTCTCCGCGGGGCTTCGAGCAGACATTCGAGCATCTGATAAAATGTCCGAAGCGAAAGTTGCACCGATCCAGGAAGGACGACGCTGAATGACCTTGTCAATGGTTTGTTGTTGATAGCGGCAACGGCAGAGAGACGCATGCGCCGCGCCACTCGTTCGCGTAGCTCGAAACAGACAAGGTTCGTTCGGTCGTCCGTCCGTCAGCGAACGCCAGAAACAGCGCTGTTGCCGACTGAACGTCACTCGTCGGGAGCGCCGGCAGAATGTTTGCGCAAACTCCGTCGGATACTCTCTTGAAGTAGCGGAAGCGGCTCCTGTTCAACGAGGAAAAATGTGCGGCCTCAACTCCATATCTTGGTACATGCTTTTGATGCGCTCGAGTCCAGTCCGAGAAATCCTCGGGGAATCGCTATTCGCGAACGCGAATTCCGATGCGAAAGCGGATCCGATCCCTACAACTCCTTCGCGCTGAGCGACTCTATGTTTTCAGGAATTATTTTTCTTCATCTCAGCCTGGGACTTCTAGAAGTCGCGCGGCCGAAGTTTCCGGCCCGCAGAAGCCCTTTTCATCGGTGGCTCATTAAAATTGGTCGAGTGCGGTCAGTTCCGGTGGTAGCTCTGGCTGCAGTTACAATTAGGTACCCTTCCCTACATTGCGGACAGCAATCAGCAATGAAAACGGTCAGGAGTCGAACTCGTGAATTTTTTTTTCTAGTCGACGCGCTCCCCGTCACTGGAACAATGCCACATTCCTCTTGTCGAGGTTATGCGGTTTTCGCTCCCTGCAGCGCCGCCGCTCCGATCGCCGGTAACTTCATTTTCCTATTGTCGTCAACACTAGCACAATACAGAAACGGCGACGCCAAATGGGAAACGTGTAGATCGGTTCCTCGAGCCTCAGCCACTCGCTTGGTTCGTCCATCCGTCCGTCCGTCTGTCGAGCTGTCGACACGTTCGTCGGTTGCTCGCTCGGTTAGTCGAACGCTCGTTCGCGTAGTTCATCAATCATTTACTCAGCCAGTCGATCAATCTCATACCCGCCGTCAAAACTGAAAAAGCACCGTGGAACTTCGCCTGCAATCCCACGGATATCGCAGTGTTTACGTTCGAAGCCATGAATGTGGAATTTTTGTCTCACGGATTCTCGTCAAGCGGCAGTGGGAAGCCCAACGCAGACAGACGTTACTTCATTCCGCGGCATGTCGCAAGCCTTAGAAACTCTCGAGTTGATCGTGATGAGAATTCGCTATAATTTTCTGCCGGCTTCAACTCCCTCGGCAGCCGGACCTAAACGTTCCGGGCAGATTCCACCGAATGGTTCCGTCAAATGATTACGATATCGAATGTACTCGGACGAGTCGAAAATTAGATCTGCCTGCTTCCCCGGCAGACAGCGATTGCTATTCGAAGGGAAACCTCGCGGATATGGGACTTGCCAAGAAAGGGCTTCTCGTTCTCGGGCGGCGCGGCGTCTTCCCGGAGACTCAAGTACTGGAGCTCACCGCTCTCCGAGTGCAAGACGCGGTTTGTTCTCCACCGTCACTCGAGCTCGCTCCATCGCCCCCCGTCACCGGATGTGGAGTACCAGCGGCTTCACGTTTCACGGATCGACCTCTTGATCGATGGGTCGACAAACAGTTCATCGATCATCGAGGCTGAGCGGTGTCGGCGAGTGACATAAAATTGAAGACGGGCATAAAGCGAGAACGCCCCGAGATACCAGTCATTGATGGTCGGAGCCTTCTCCGCAGGAGACAACAAGCATCTCGAGTGACAGGTGTGCTCCGAGTGAGCGGACTTCGCTGATAAACTTCGGCTCGTTCACAGAATTCATCTCCGAACTTGTCTTCCCCCGCGTCGTCGGTGTCGATTTCCGGAACTCCTTGCGTCGGGAGTACGAGTGCGACTCGGAACCTTCGAAATGAAAATTGACAATCCCGATGGTTCGCAGACCAACACCAGGTCGGAATGGTTCGACGGAATGGTTTGATATTTCGAGTTAGCATTATCGATCAGAGCGTGCGAGATGCGACGGGGGAGAAGTCCAAAAATCGATTCTTTCCGACCGCGCGGCGAATAATTTTTCCCGTTCCTCCTTCGCACGGGAGTGGAAGGATTGAAAAGTTATATTTAGTTCATCGGAGCGCGCCTTCACGGTATTCCGTCCGTCGTCGCGTAGATACGTCGTCGCGACTTTATCGCCGTGTGTCGTCGACGATTCGCGTCTCGCTTATCTCTCCGTGGGATGGATAACAACTTGATACAAACGTGAGAAATTTGAATCGCTATCCCTCGAGTTCCGCGGAGGGATAAGTTCCGTGAGGGTCGTATCGAGCTCTTCGTTTTCGTGTTTTTGCTGCGGCTTACGCAGCTACCCAAAACTAGCGGCAGTCGCCGAAAGCTGTCGCAAGCGAGTACTCCAGCTACCAACTCGACGACGGTCGCTGGTAAGGCGATTAGGGCCATCATCCAAAGAGTACGGCAAGCTGTCTGGCTACTTGGCTTGCCTAGTCGACTCGCTTAGTCGGCCGCACGGTCGGCTGCTGTTGCCGTCCCGCACGGCTTATCTCCTTCCATCTTGTCATCAAACAACGAGAGGGCGAATCTACGGGGAGATAGTCGCTGATGATTGCACCGCTCGGACTCGGAAAGAAGAACTGAGGTAGGAAATAATCTCTGTCCATTTACGACTCCCGCTCGCTCGCTCGCTGGCTGGCTGGCTCGTATGCTCGTAGACCTACTGAAAGGCAAACTTATTTGCTCACCGCAGCTCAAGATTGGCTCGGCGCTGCTCGCTCACCCGCACTCTCAGTGATGGCTCGCTGTTTGTTTCTTATTGGTAGTAGTAAGCGATCAATTGAGTTGTAAAACTTTGA